GCAAAAAACTTTCATACAACCGTTTTCCGCCAATTTACCACTGTTGCGGGTGGAATTTCCCAAATCGTCGAAATACGTATTTATTAAGTTCTTATGTAGAGCTTTGAAAATAAGTTTGAGGCAAATCGGACACAACTTAAAACTTCGCCCAAAAAATCTTTAAATCGCATTCCCCCCGAAGATGTTTGAATTCTGCGAAAAGTGTGAAACATGTTTCAAATGATTTTTTCTTATAGATCTCTGAAAATGAATTTGAGCGCGAAACGTCATCCACCAAATCTTTGACCTCCATTTCCACCAAGGAGGAATGGATTTTCCTATAAGTGTGAAACACCCCTCAAATGAATTTGAACAAAGATCTTTCAAAATAAGTTTGAGGCCGATCGGATGGTAAACAAAAAAGTTACATACAAACGTTTTTCGCGATTTTTCCACACTTGCGGGTGGAATTTCCCGAAACCCCGTCTTAACGTGCACCTACATCACATAAGGTAGCTACAGTGAAAATTTCAGCTTCCTATGTCTTACGGTTTGGGCTGTGCGTTGATCACCAATCAGTCAGTCAGTCAGTCAGTCAGTCAGGACAAACAGTTTTATAAATAGAGATGAAATATAAATTATAGTAATATTATCAATGTCATGGAATGAATGAAAAACCATCTTGACAAATAAATATATCTTGTGACAATATCAGAAGTGGAATGCAAATGCTTCGCAAAATTAAAAGGAGAAAACAATTGGGAAAAAAACCAAACTGAGGATAGTTTTGGCAAGTAATTTGGCAAGAAATTTAATAAAATGATTGTTAAATTAAGTAAATTTTGTGTTAGTGAGTTGGATGTTATTGCGAGACAAAATAACATTCCAATCACAGGAAATAAACTAGCAAAAGTCGAGGAACTTGCAAGAGTGTTGAGGTCTGATGTAATAGACTTAGACAATTATGATGTTGACGAATACAATCAGAGCACGAATATGCAAAAACAGATGGATGAGCTTAAAAGTGTGGTAGAAATTTTGACACAAGCAATGCACGCTTTGAGTGTGCAGTTAAATGGGCAATCCCAAGGAGTGGATCAGCCATTGGCGGGAGCACAACTTTCGACGGCTGAGCAGCAGGAACGCAGAATTTCACCACAAAACGAGAGTGCACCATCAGGGGCGATGGATAGGTGGTGTCACTAAGGATATTATTGAAATGTTACCAGAATTTGATCCAATAAAGGGCCATATAACATCAGAACAGTTTATCGAAAAAGTAGAGCAATTACAACGAGTGTATAATTGGAGTGGCGGCACTATGTTATTTTCTGTGCTGCATAAAATGAGAGACGTAGCGAAAGATTGGTTAGATGCCCAGTATGTGTATCATACGTAACTGGTGCCACGCCGCATTGATAAAGGATTTTCCCAGTGTGGGTAATATGGCAGGTGTCCACAGGCAAATGATGCAACGGAAACGCAAGTACTACGAGTCAACGATCGAGTATTTTTATGCAATGCTGGCATTAGGACGACGAGCCAATATGGTTGATCCATCGATAAATTCGTAGATTATCAACGGGCTTAATTAGCAGGAGTCGACGGAAGCATTATTGGCGATGACTCTAGCTACATGCTTTGTGCTGTTCAAATCATTGGAAAATATGAAGACGGCACATGGCACGTATCGGCAAGGCACAGGAGCGTTCGACAAAGCAAAGGTGGAAGAGATTAGTGGCAGCGAAGCCAAAACAAAAGTACCAAAGTCTTGCTTGGCTCCTCAACGTAAACCACGATGTTCGATATGCTCACGAGTTGGTGACGACGATAAGGACTGCAAATAGAAAAATTCAACAGTATCTCAGCTAAATGAGTCAAACAAAAAAGGAAATCTACCGATCATGGAAACAATGTACATAGGAGAGCGCAAATATACAGCGTTTGTGGATACAGGAAGTGATAATACTCTCATTAAAGAATCATCTGCTCACAAGGGAGCTGTTAGACAACAGTCGGTAAAACGGCTGCAATGATTTGGCGTTTCAATAGTCGAATCGATGGAGTGCATTTTAACTGAGTTTAAAAGCGGCGAGTATCAGACGTACACTAGAATTCAATTTGTGCCAGACAAGGTGTTGCCGTACGAGGCTTTGCTTAGCAGAGATTTTTTTGTGCCAAGACTGAGTAGCGGCGGATGCTTAATAGTGAGGCAGATGAGTCTCGGGTTGCAGTGTTGGAGGAAAAGGAATTTGATATTAGCGCTGACGTTAATATCACCCAGCGCAATTAGGTGAGCGATCTGTTGAATTCGTATTCAGATTGATTTGCCGAAGATATTTCAAAAATTGGCAGATGCGATACAGCAGTCATGGAGATCAACGTGTCAACAGAGGGATAAGCTACACACAATGCTGAATGATCACCCTATGCAGCATCAGCATTTTTAGTACCAAAAGATAACGGCGAGCATAGATTGTGCGTCGATTAAAGAGCTCTGAATGCAGTCACTATAAAGAAACACTACCCAATGCCCGGTTGTAGAAGAGCAATTATCGAAACTGGCTGGTAATAAGTACTTTACCACATTGTGTGCCGCGTCAGGATAAGGCCGAATGTCAAAAGACAGAAGTAGAGCAGAGCGGACACGCAGATAACCGCGGACTCAAGAAGTCATTGAAAGAAAGAATTCAGTTAAGTATATATATATGAAATACAAGAAATCTTTGAGTCGTATTCCACCCGAAAAAGTTTGGATTCTGCGAAAAGTGTGAAACACGTCTCAAATGATTTTTCTTTTAGATCTTTGGAAACGAATTTGAGCGCGAAACGTCACCCACCAAATCTTTGACCTCCATTTCCACCAAGGAGGAACGGATTTTCCTAAAAGTGTGAAACACCCCTCAAATGAATTTGAACAAAGATCTTTGAAAATAAGTTTGAGGCCGATCGGATGGTAAACAACAAAAATTAAATACAGACGTTTTTCGCGATTCCACACTTGCGATTGGAATTTCCCGAAACCCCGTCTTAACGTGCACCTACATACATTACATAAGGTAACTACAGTGAGTCAGTCAGTCAGGACAAACAGTTTTATATATATAGAGATAAATCATAATAATAAATAATCAAAGTCATGGAATGTATAAAAAACCATCCTGAAAAATAAATATATTTTGTGACATATTTAAAAAAAACATGAATTTGCCATGGATTTCCATTCATTTAATGGAATCGATGAAAGTTATCGATAATTTGAAACAATTTCGTACAGGGGGGCGCTACGAGCACCCGATTTACTTTTGTTTCCATTTAAAGGGTTCAGAGAATGAATTGAGTGCAATTGGGACTGCGCAATACTCTGTTCGCAGTGTGATAAAAGCTTTAATCAAATCAAAAATAAACCTCTTGATTATTGGCATGGCAGCATCTTCACGAGCTATATCTTAATGCGGAGTTGCTTTAGTCCGTGTACCATCGACATTTTTTCTGGGACTTGCAGCCCTGACCTACACGTACTTTTTACTTTGTCAATAGAGTATAAAGAGAAAATGTCAGCGAATTGCAGCATCTCACAAGCTTCAACTTCAGCTGGGCTTTGTGGTGCAGCCTGGAAAATAAAGTTGTTCGCATGTGGTAGACAATATCCATCAGAAGAGAAAAGAAAAAAGAAAATAAACCTAGCGAGATGGTGGAATTGAAAAAAAAAACTGCGCATAGATAAGCAACTGCAATGTGCCGCACATGCCTGCTTTTTCTCCAGTTTTAGTTGTAGCTGTTGTTGAATCTGCACAAGTTTTATGACCTGCTGCGCAACATTTGTGCAACAGGCCATTTTTCATTAGAACAAAGCAAGGGAAAGCATATAAGAAGAGCTCGAATGAGATTGAGGATAACTAAAAGGGCAACATACTTGCAAGAACAAACGACTGTGTTTAATTAAAAGCTTCAGCAGTGAATAAATCCAGTAAATACTTTACGACACATTGGCGAGATCTGCAACTGAACTAAATAAATGATATATCTGTAAATATATAATGACAAGGCGTTTCTTTGAATCATTTCGTAAAAACTAAAAAGATTTTCTCTAACCTATTGTAGATTTTTCTACAAACTGTGAAATATGATCATACATTTTTGTACCCTTTACACATTGAAATTGGGTAAAGAGGAACGTGTGCGGATACATTTGAATGATATATTTGTGCCCTGGAAGTTTAATAAACATCGCAAAATAAACATAGGAGTAATTCAAGATCTTAGTTTTCGCTTAGAACTGAGTTCTTGCTGCATAGATAATATTAATTAATAAGATATTTTTCTCTGTTGAAACTCTGAAAGAGTGAAACTCTTAAAACCATTTTATTTTAATTTAATGACAAATATGCATATATTCCAAAAATTGTTAAAGCTGAACTATGAGCAATTAAATTTATAACTATTATTTATTTCACAAGGGAGTTTACGTCTATCATGAAACTCAGTATTTAAAATTTTTTTTCTCTAGTTTTTAACGAAATCTAACTGATAGACAACATTATTTATGAGCGACAATATGAGCGCTCGCTTTTGTGTCGACTCAATAATTAGAGCCTGTTATGCAACTTGATTTAGACTGAAAGCTGACCGGCGAGTAGCATTGTCGGTGAGGGAGAGACAAAATGTTAATGCACCTTGCCATTCCAGTGCGCTTAGCCATGTACGGATACACTCGTTTCACTTTGTGGATGAGTGAAAAAATATTAAAACCAAATATGCAACACAAAAGGAGTGCAAGATTAAATAATTGACTAGATCTGTGGCATTGGTTGAAAGGTTATAAAATGGACTATATCTGTCACATTGTTTGAAATCCGAATAAGCCCCTGACCGGGGATTACACTTATAAACGGTTGCATTTTCTTTCCTAATTCAAACAAAACCATAAAAAGGAACATCCACAAAAATGACATAAAATATATATTTTCAACAATAAAGAAAAGGAATTAGCTTTTGCTGACATTAAAGTCGCAACATTTTCAAATATTTATTTCCCCAGTTAATATAGCAGAAAACATACATTTTCAAAGCCAAACAAGTAACGAACAGAGGACCGACAGGCTAAGGCCTTCAATTTAAAGTCATGCACTGCACATAATTATAAATCACAGATTGTCTCAGTCGTTGGTCGGTTGCGCTTGTCCACACTCAAATAACTTGACGCCAAGTTGATACGTTTCACGCAAGATTTAATGTTATCATCAAGTGCATGTGGCCGAGGAGGGTTACCACTGCCGATATATATCGCCGCGACAGTGAACGTAGAATTGCTGGCTCATCAATAGCAGAGGGTATTCGCCCAAGCACTCTCATACACACAGACTATCTTTGCAACAGTACCAAAGGTCGGTGAATGCGCTGATGCAGCGAAGGAGCGAAAGGAACAGGGTGGAGCTGGATGCGATGATGTGTATCACAAGTGCATCTAATGTTTGTGGCCATGTTGACTTAAGGTCGTGCAGCTGGAAAAAAGCAACAGCAACAACAATAGCTACAGGAACAATTGATGACGCGGCCAGCGCTAACTCAGTCAAACAGGCCCACATATTGCCAGCACTGTCAATACTGACATACTTTATTTGGCTCTTAGTAGTAGTGCGGAATTCAATTAGCATATGCTTTATGCATGAGACACGTAAATTCGCACATATTCAGATGTCCGGCCCGTTCAACCAATGTACGGTTCTTCTATAATTGATAGCACATTTGATGTTATAAGCTTTTATATTTGTATTTATCTTTCCCAACTTTCAGCTCCACCCGTACACTTAACACACGTGGGGAGCATAGACCATGCCAAGCTCTTCCTTACAAGCACACGAACACAAAACACACAGTTGGGGTTGTGCGTGCCAGTTGCTTGTGACTGCACCAAGGGGTGTGCGCGTAATCTTCCTCGTACTTGGCAGTGCAAATAAAAAATTCTCATTGCGTGTAGGTTTTCCTTCTTGCCATCTGTGTCCCAGCTGAATGGAGGTCGTGGCAACTTTGTTGACTGGCAGTTTGAAACTCACCGAAATGTCTTCTGCCAGGGATTCCTTTTTTGTGGATAAAACAAGAATCAAATTGTACGAAAAGTATAGGAGAATAATTTTGCTAACACAAATATGATTTTTAACAGTTTGTCAGCTTGATTTTAATTTAATTTTGAATTTAATTAAACTAATTTTATATAAATAAGTTAAACGAGAAAGAAGTGCTATCTTCGGCACACCGAAGATTTAATACCCTTGCAGACCCAACCTTTTCAAAATGCTCATAGTGCTTTGCCCGTATCTAAGAAGCACAGGGAAAATAGTTAATGCCGAGTATGGTTAAGATATCTTGAAAAACAAAACAGGTTTCCATACAACAACTTAATTTTCGACCGATCGTTCCTATGGCAGCTATATGATATAGTTGCCCGATGTGAATAAGATTTTGCATAAGTGGAGGGAGCATAGTAAAACTAATAAATGCCGAGTTTGGTCAAGATATCTTGAAAAACAAAAAAATTCCATACAACAGCATAATTTTCGACTGATCGTTCCTATGGCAGCTATATGATATAGTTGTCCGATCTTAATAGAATTTTGCATATATATGGGGACCGTAGTAAAACTAATAAATACCGAGTTTGGTTAAGATATCTTGAAACACATAAAAATTTTCTATACAAAAACTTAATTTTCGACCGATCTTTCCTATGGCAGCTATATGATATAGTGGTCCGATCTTAATAGGATTTTGCATATATATGGGGAGCCTAGTAAAACTAATAAATACCGAGTTTGGTCAAGATATCTTGAAAAACATAAAAATGTTCCATACAAAAACTTAATTTTCGACCGATCGTTCCTATGGCAGCTATATGATATAGTTGCCCGATCTTAATAGGATTTTGCATATATATGGGGAGCGTAGTAAAACTAATAAATACAAAGTTTAGTCAAGATAACTTTATAAACAAAAATGTTTTTCATACAAGAACCTACTTTTCGACCGATCGTTCCTATGGCAGCTATATGATATAGTGGTCCGATCCAGCTGGTTTTGACATATGAGCTGCGTGCAACAGAAAGAGGGAATTCTGCAAAGTTTCATAAAGATAGCTTTAAAACTGAGAGACTAGTTCGCATAGAAACAGACAGACGGACAGACGGACATGGCTATATCAACTCGGCTGTTGATACTGATCAAGAATATATACTTTATGGGGTCGGAGATGTCTCCTTCTATGCGTTACACATTTCACGACAAAATTATAATACCCTCTGCAAGGGTATAAAAAGTTTTAAGTTAAAAAAGTTTTTACCTAAAGTCACAGTGTTCTTTCCTGTCTTTGCAATTACAAAAACTTTTGAAAAAATTAATTAATATTCAAGGATAAGGACGAGGTAATCTAGAGCTAGAGATGGAGGGTAAAGTTAGTGTACATTAGAGGCGGCTAAAGTTAAGCTTTTAACGTAACTATAGCACGGAATATGGATTGGTATAAGAAGATCTTTATAATAAAATCATTAGTTACTTTAGCTCAATTTTAATTGCTTAAAATTTTAGGGCATCCCAAAAGTTTCCTGTAAAGAATGCAGTTTCCCACAATAGTCAGTGGGTCAGTCAGAACAGGCAGTTATAGACTCTGCATATCGTTTACACACCTTGTAACCAGAAAATATCTTTATATTAATGGACGGATCTATCCACGTTGAATACTTGTAAGAATCCTAGGTCTTATATACTTACATAGTTTCTTATTTTACGCCTGCTGTCAATCCATTATCGGCAGCAGCGGTCATAAACTATTGCTCTTAATTAGGGTATCTTTCTCACCCTTGCTACTTATTATTCTAACATGATATTACTTAGCGTAGGTCGCTCTTAGAATCTTAAGCTTTTTTTTTTTATGCTGCTGGCTGCAGTCGTACAATATGGTGTGAGATATACTTTTACCGAGGGTCTAAGTGAGACTCGATGTCGCGCATTCATGTGTGAACAATTAAAATATATCTTATATAAAAACTGGTGTAAATGAAAGTAGCACCACAATGCATTGCTTCATCAACAGCAATCAAAACACTTCCAGCATTATAGAAAAGCACGAAAAGTGAAACAAAATATTGAGAAACAAGTATAAGGTTCTAGACGGGAGCTCCTTAGTAGGTGATACCCTGAACCGTCTTATTTCAACACCAACTCGCTCGTCCGCTTTAGTAGTAATACAGATAAATTAAAAAAAAGTTCCCTTAGCAGGGTTCGAACTCGCAACTGACCGCATTACTTGCTGCCGGGTCTACTCAACAGCCACATCAGCCAAAAAAAAATAAAAAATTTGTTTCCTCAGTGGAGTTTGAGCTCGCAACTGACCGTACAACTTACCGCCACCTCTACCCAATAGCCACACCAATAATTGAACCTTAATGAGAAAAAATGAGTCAAAATAGCTGCATAGAAAACAATAGAATCGCATTTGCAATGCTGTTGATAGAATTCAAAGCAGGCGCGCATGAATGTGTGTGTGTACATGTATACAGAAATTCTTGGAATTTGCGCTTACCGCTGATAGGAGAAAAGTCAAAACACGCTTTCTTTAATCAGTTCTGTGTTTCTTAACCGATCTTGATGAAATTTTCTATAGTACATCTTATTGTGTTATAGAATATTTATGTATTCTCAATAAGTCAATTGCATTTAATTGTGGCTTCTGTTGGTGGGCAATACAAATTGGAGTTTTTAATCGATTATGTATGTATGTGGCGATAGCGGGGTGGTGTAGAGATAGCTATATAATGAAAGATGCTTGCTGTACATAATATATATATATGTATATATTATTATTTACCAAAATTGCTCAAAAAACATGATTTCGATATCAATATTCATCGTTTACTTGGAAACGGAGTAAGTTATCGATTATCGGAAACAAACTCGTACTGCGCAAGTCTCTAGCTCTTATAGGTTCTGAGATCCTTTCGTTCATACATACGGATGGACGAACGGACGGACAGACAATGATACTGATTTCATTTTTGCTCCCAATTTTCAAAAAATCTAGCTGCATAGTAGCATTTTGTTTTATGACGTTACTCATCTTAGTGTTTATATTGTCTTTGGTTCGGGGTATAAAAAGAAGAGAAAGAAATATGTATGCGCATATAAAAAGTTCCATCATATATGTAAAATTTGAAATGTTCTTAAAAATAGAAAAACATAATCAGAATGTGTGTAGGGCGGCGTTGGCTGCCTTTCCCAATGCCCTTCTGTTAAATTAATGAAAGCGTTGCCATCGCCAACTCAAAACTAATAGAATCAAGAACAACAACACCCACATCAACAAAATCTGGAGCAACTCGCACACATTTTTTAAATACAGATGGAGGCGCAAATAATGAAAGCCTACTGTGGACGGGACGCGTCGCTTATTCTGGCAATAAACGCAGCCCCACACACGGCTAATGTATTGGATGTTTAGAGCTTTAGAGCTTGCGTGGGTGTGTAACTGTAGCTGAAGTGAAGAAATCAGCATGTTATGATATATCGACAAGTGGGTGCTCCCAATATCAATGTTATCCTCTCATTCCCGCCCTGCGGCTATTACCATTCGGGCTCAACACATCAAACAGCAGCTAAGCACAAGAGCAGCTGTTTGATTAATTGAAAAGTTTTTAATGCTTTTAGGATAAGAAATATATTGGTCTAACCTGTATTTTATATCTGTCTTTTTCAGATGATGCAAATGTTGTTTTTTATTTTATTTACAAATTTGTGAAAATTCAAGAGAAAACAAAGCACAAATCGTGTCAAATTTTAAAATAACTTATTTCATAGTAATTTTACCTTAACAAACCATGTTTAACTTAAAGCAGACTGTTCTCAACTTTCCTACATAATTGAAAACAACAAAAAGTGTGTTGCATCAAACAGAAAAAATATAATCAATGTTTGTTGTTGGTGAACGTAAGCCATAACTAATTAACCATATAAAGTCAACAGCATAAATACTATAAACAGAAAACCTTAAAAAAATCTAATTTTATTGTTTTTCAATTTCATTCGCTAAAACTGGATTTTGCAAAAAGTGCTTTCTTTGATTGCCTTTTTAATGGCTAACCGCAAAAAGTTCAATCAAATTAAAATACATTGAACTATTTTCCGCAAAATAATTGCCAGCTCTTTGGAGGCAACAAAATTTGAATTTCAATATCTACATGTACATAGATGACCATATATGTTTTTATGATAGGTTCAGTCTTTTCCAGTGATTAAGTTCTAATTGGTTATTGTGTTACGGTCATTTAATTTTTGGTTAATTAAGTTGGCATGCAGCTGGAAACACAATCATTTTAGACACGGTCGACCCATGGCGTTATGTGGGCCAGAGTTTTATTTTGACTGCAAAAAATATGTTCAAATTGCTAAGGATAGGTAATTGTGTATTTACAGGCCTATAGATAATAACATTTGCGCACTTTAAAACATAATTATTTTTCTTATATGTAGGAATTTTAATATTTTGTAATCGTATTATACATTTTAGGAGATACACAATGGAAATATGGACTTAGGCTTCCACACCAATGCTCTGGCTTAGTAACGAGTAAATAACTGCGATAATCAAATAATTGAAAATGTTTTGCAATTAGATAATTATACCCTAAACCCATTAAAAATGGCTAAAAGCGTATAATGTATTTGTGCATAAATGTATATATTCTTGATCAGAATCAATGGCCGAGTCGATCTAGCCATGTCCGTCTGTCTGTCCGTCCGTCCGTATGTATGAACGCAAGGATCTCAAAACCTCCTAGTCCCTGCGCATTAAGAGTTTGTTTCCGATAATCGATACTTGCCCCGACCCCAAGCAATCGATAACATTCGATATCGAAATCCTGGTTTTTGAGCAATTTTGGTAAATAATATGAGCTAGAGTCACCAAACTTGACATGTAGCTTCTTGAATAGTACATATACATATATCAAGTATATTTCATTTTATAGCTATCGTCACCTCCCCGCTACCACCACATAGCCATAAATCAAATAAACAAACCAATTCGCACTACCCACCAATTTAAGTCACAATTGTATTGCAATTGTCTTCCCAAAGTCATATAAATATTCAATAGCACAATAAGATCTACTGTCGAAAATTTCATCAATATCGGTTAAGAAACACAAAAGTTATTAAAGAAAACATGTTTTGGT